CACAGAATGTGTAAGAACAGTCGTTGTGATAGATATAATATATTAACTCCATCCCACATATGGAACACAATTTTTGATAAAATTAGTTGTTTTTTTAAGTATTATAAACATTAAATAAAGAAATATCCCGTTTTTATCCTGGTCATACTTACCTTTCTGTCCCTATACTGATTTTTTTTTTTACGTCCGTCGCGTTTGTTCGTGAACAAACTAGCCTAAATCATGCGTAGGATTTCTTCAATAGATTTCCGGTCAATTTGGCTTCCACTCGAGAGGCTGGTATTTTGTAAAAACGTTCTTTAAAATTTGAGGGTATTTAACATTAAGCGCCAGGGAATTTTCAAAATTCCAAGTAAGCTACAGGAATTTGTTTTAAATTTTTTGAAAGAATCGATATAATACACATTTAAAAAATGGCATAAATTGTTTTCACTGGGTTAACTCTGAATTTTCGAAAATTGCAAAGTTTTAATTTTTTCTCCTTTGTCCCTACAACTACAAAATTGAAGGTAGATAGTTTTCTTTTCAAGTAAAGCTTTTCTCTGTCGTTAGTTCTTTCATTAAGGTCATGTCATTTTTTTATACTTTTGTAGTTTTTCGCGGCAATATTACGTTGCAATATGTTGGCATTATTAAAAAATAACAAAAACAATATTTTTCTCTAAACGGGCTCCATTTTTTCTTTTTAAAACTTCGGTAGATATAGGTGCTAAATGTATCTATAAGACGACATAAAGTTACATTGCCATTTTTTTTTGTATCATAAATTACGATTGAAATTTTTTGGCTAGCTCTCAGTCGTTAATATTACATTATCTTTGCAATTTTTTTTCACATTACTTGTATGTATAAGTACTGTGGCTTTAAATAAATGTCATATAAGTTTTCTCCGAAACTCACAGTTTTATTTGTTTAAAATGGGCTCAAAATTCGCAATTTCAAAACGCTCAAACGGCCATTTTCTCATAACGGTTCAATTTGGGTCTCCAGACTTTCCCAAGGATAGTGCTAAATATACTGTTTAATATGAATAAAGTTAGGATGTATTGGTTTTGTTTCTTTCAAGTAATATGCGTAATATGCACATTTCCGCGATTTATATGCATTATAAGCATTTATGAGTAGAGGTGCTTCAAATGACTTCAAGTCAGTTTCGAAACAGTTTCTTTTGAAAAAAGCTTAAATGTTGCAATGACGAGTAACAACTAAAAGCCATTTTCTTAAAACTGCTTATATTTCGGGTTTACATTTAGGAAATTGAAAGATGAGGAATATTTAAAATGGGCGACAATTGAGGATAGTGGGGCCAAGCTGAAGAGCTAGCGTAGACCAAAAAAATTCAAATGCTAATTGTAGAGAAAATACTGTGTCATTCTGGTTGAACTCTAGGTACTATTAAATGTCATGATGAAAGCAATGACGTATATAGGGGTGCAACATGCAATGCAGAGGATAAAGTTTAAAGAATGTTGTGGATACAAAAAACACGAGAACCCATTCAGTTGGTTTTTCTTCTAATCTCATCTTTTAATTTGGTGTTGTTGAAAGGATCCTATAGTTGCAAACGAATACTATATCTCATGAATAGTAATTTTCATTGAAATAGCATTTCAAAATAAAATAAAATTAAAATACTGTATATTTTGCGTGGGTGAATTTAAAAGTAGTTACCAATAACTTTGTAATATTAAGTATTTTAAAGGTTGACATTATCCAAAAATACTATGCATGTTAACAAAATTAATTGGTTTATTGTAATTGCTCTATGTTCATGCATTTTAGTTCAGAAACTAGTGTGGAGGTTCTTTTGGCGGTACTTGTCTTTCAAATAAAATCTTGTTTAAGGAAATTGAATTACGTTTGGCTGAATTTCCTCTGGATATCCAAATCAGGTCGTAATCTTGATGTTGTTTTCAATGCTACATTCTTTCTCCGGCCATTTTAACATCGGGCCCAATATCATGTTTAACTATCCAGGGTCATGAGAATAGGGCAGCCTCACCCTGGCTTCTATATTTTTATGAGCCAAATAAATAAAATAGAAATAATTTTTTATCAAATGGATCAATGAGATGTTGTATGAAGTGGGGGCTCCTTGTAAAAGTTGTTTGGGGATACTAATTTTTCTGAAGGGACCATGCTTCAAGAATATGAGGTGTAGAATAATCTGATGTTATTGGGAACATCTGTTGTTCTACATTTTGGAAATTTGCTTTATTAGACCATGCTTTAGGGAGAAGGCATCATAAAAAATAAAATACAATTTTGAAAAAGGGTAATTCTTTAAATTTCAAAAATAACGTTTTTGGGCCTTTCAGTGTTAAACAAGAAATGACTTGTATCCCTTGCACCACTTCAGGTTTGATGGTAGTTATGCCACTGGTAATCATTTTTTTCGTGGGCTATGAAATCGAAACTTTCTGCTAGTATCAATCCATCAGTTCATAGGCATATTTCGCATCAATGGTAATGAAAAAAATTCAAATATGGAAATCGTTAACAAAACACCCATTTTAAAACCAAATTTAGTTCTTTCTTTTAGGACCCCTGCTCTCTCTCTTAGTGTCTCTCTCTCTCTTTCTCATCTTTTCCATCTCTCTCCATTGGGCAAGAGTGGAGAACAAAGTATTAGTGAAAAATATGTTGGAATTAATGCGTTGTAGATTCAGGTTATTTTATGTTAATCGTATATTGATTCATCCACCAAAGAATATTTCCATTATGATATAATTTTTTTTTCTAGTTAACAAAAAAGTTCCATAATATTTTTTTACATGTTTATTTCACATTTTTTTGCTTTTTTAACAACTTGGATTATATTGCGACGACTGTAATTGTGTTGAAACGACTATTCATACATTTAATATAAAATTTTTTAAATTATGTATCTATTGATATTCTATGCGTTATTTTCACACATATTTCATGATATTTAATCTCGCTCTAATAGGTAAAATTGTTCACCTCATTTTACTTCCACCATTCTTTGTGTTTAGGCAATTGTTTAATTACTTCTTTACAAGGGTTCCATTCAGTATGCATCAATTTTCATTTTCTTTTATTTGTTGAGAGGGATTCATTGTTTTTGTTACTATGGTGTAAAGAAAGAAGTATGTTTCAGCATCTTCTAGCAGTCACCTCCATTTACATAGTTGAATCTTCCTCAGATTCCGAAGACTTCAGGCTTGGATGACTGTTATTCATTCCTTACTTCTTTCTTTACAAGGAAGTGGAGTAATTGGACAATTTCTAATGATTTGTTGATATTCCATTTCTGTGAATACAAGGAACAAATATGAAAATAATGAAAGATATTTGGATGGGGTTTGGTGATTTGCTTTTCTTCAATTTAGGTGTTATATTTGAATAATTGAAGGAAACAAATAGACTTTAACTTATATTTTGCATTGATTGAATCAGTTAATAAAGTTATGTTATATGCATGTACAGACTAGTTTATTTTTTAATGTGGATTTTTGTATTTCTGTATTTATAGTTGTCTTAATTATATTTTGGTAATGACATATTTTTGAATTAAATTATCAATATTAACATTGGACGTATTTTTTCATATACCAAACTATAGAATACACATTTCAAGTCAAAACTGGGAAAATAAAGAACTGTTAATGTTTAAAAAATGTTCAAAAAGCAATTTTGTTTGTTTAATCTCATTTAAATTTCAACCATTTGGCAGAGCAATGACTTTGTTGGTTTATTTGTCAAAATTTTATAATTTTGCATGGTAAAATTTTTATTAAAATAACTGCTCAATGTACATTTTTAAATAAGTCTGGGTGTGTTATAAAAACCTCTAAGATTAAGTACATTTCAAAGTTAGTTTTTGACCTCATCTTCACTAATTGATATAACAATATGCTCTAAGTCAGTAAGTTTTCCTCTCTCTCGTCCTTATAGAATCATTAGTGAAGCCTCTATTTCCTTTACATTAATGCATAAAAAGAAATATTGCTGTTTGATATAAAAAAGTTAAAACCAACATAAAATATTAAAATTAACAAATCAATTTATTTTTGTTACTAATTTATATTTTTATACTTTTTAGGTTCCTCAAATTAACTCTTTCTCAAGTTAATTGCAGTCGTTTTATAAATGCTATTGACTACTTTGCATGCAATTTTTTTGCAGCATGCAGATTAGTGCAGTTTTTTTATTCAAGAAAACAACATCTTGTTCTATCATCCCAGAGTTTACTCAAACTTTTGACCAATAATTTGTTAAACTTTCATTTTAAATCTAGAATTGTTAATGTTTTTAATTAGAACCTGTAATACTTTCTCAAAAGATTTAGAATTTTTTCACTTTGCAGTGTATTTAAAAAAATAGACACTCATTCAAACTTTACGTACACATATACTGGATTATGTATTCTTGTGTTTACAACAACGATGTCTTGTTTACAGTTTAAAGTAAATTGGTTTTTCCTTATAATTGTGTATTACTAATTATGTATTACTCAGTCTATTCTCTAAAATTTAAATATCTACTATTTTCTGTTGTACACTAGTTCTTGACTGCGTAGCCATCATACTGCTGACATGGGATGTTATCTTGGAGGTTGGAGAAGCTTTCTCATGCACACAAAGTGGACTTGCTGCAAGCATCCTTATTCAAAGGTACATGCTCTTCACCAAACATTCACAATGCACAAAGTTATCTATTTAACTCTACAACACTGTATTCATTTGCATTCTTATGTTCTGTAGGCGATCGTTTACTGCTGGACTGAAAGAATGTGAGAGTCCCGAGTAAAAACTTCAGGGCACTCTGTCTACTGCATGGGGCGAGGTTAATTGTATTTCATGTACACTGGCCAAATTAGAGTTACAGGAGGTAATCAGTTGCCGCTGTTGCCAGCTGACAATGTTTTTCAGGTTAGATAGTCTCGCAAGTTTTCCACTTTTTCTTTCTCATTTCTGATTGAGATTGCTTTTTTTAACTCATTTTAAAACTGAAAATTAATCTTCAAATTTGTTTATGTGGCAGGTAACAAATGTAATCGATGCATTGTTGTGTATTCCTTGGAATGCGACAACTCGATCCCAGTAATGCATTGCATTGCAAATTTTGGCTGAGGCAACATGGATGCAAAGATCTTATCATAAGCTAACAATTTATAATGCAAACATTTTTTCACAGGTTTGTATCTGTTTTTTTTGCTTCATATATTAATTTGTAAATAATATAATTGTTGTTTGACTAGCTTATTGATGTTTCTGGTAGAAATTCTTTGTGTAGATCTGCCAAGAAGAAGAATTTTTACAACTTTCGCGCTATTCAGTTAGTAGCACTGATAAAACGCGATGAATTAAATGTTAAAGAGCGTGAAGTGTAAATGCTGTGCTGCAGTGGGTTCGCTATGATGAGATAATGATATCAAATGCAGCACATATGTATGCTGTGCGTTGGGCCAATATTGACACCATCTTTTCTTCAGAATCAAATGAAGCACTGGTGTGTTTCTGAAAACTTCCTGCATGTCGAGAAATATCTAGCAAAAATTTACGGTAATTCTGATAATATTTTTGTATTATTTATTTTTCAAAACAGGAAATAACTTTAAGGCAAAATGTTGAAATATATATATATATAGAAAGGAAATAAATGACCATTTCAAAAATTTTTAGCTTGCGATTTACTTGAGATTGGCTGGGGAACATTTGATTTTTTATGATATTCCAAAAATCAATTACTTATTTGACAGATTTTTCATTAATTATAATTTTAATTGGTTGTTTATTTTTCAGTTCTGGTTATCTATCTTCAATTTGTAACGATTGGTATTTAATTGGAATTAATAACCACATAATTGTATATTTATCGCAATTTAAATAATATTGTATTTTTATTAAGGATAAAATGTTTGATTAATTATAAGCTTTATCTTCATTGATACTGTTCTATAGAGGTTTCTGAGCACTTTTTATTGTCCTTTATTTTTTTTTGTGATCGATGATTATAGATTAACACATTTTCCATTTGGTTTATAGGATGCTGACATTACATAAAAGGCCATGTCAAAGAAAGAACTCAACACTCTCGTGTTATTTATATAGCCGGTGGTAATTTAAGGCAACTCATTAGATGTTTTAGAAGCTTTTAATGCTGATGACAAACATGGACTACACTAGCTAGATTCACAGTCCCAGAATCAGGACTTGGAGGAGCTTTTAAAAGGTAAGTTGCTTTTATATTTTTTGGGTAGGTAAACATATATGAAATAATTTGCCCTAAAATAATTGGTTAATCATTATTTCTGTAACAATTATTTTAACACCATTAATTATTGCCAAATAAATTTGAAATCCGTTACTATTTTGAATGTTTTTCAGGGGTTTTTTTATGCTGTGGTGGACGCAACAATTCTCCGAAAGTAGTTATGGATTCGACTGGTTTGAATAGGTTACCCGCGGGAACAGTTGGCGACGCTTGTTCAATGTCAGTGCCACGTAATCATGTTTTGGGGCGTAGCTGTATGGATGCTTGTTGTATGCAGTAGGAGGTGTGAGCTCTGAAATATACAACAGTGTAGAGGGTAAGGAAATACATTTTTTGATTGATTTCTATATTTGTTTGTTATTAAAATAACAGCATTCTACTAAATTATTTTTTAAAGAATTATTGATTGCCTTTCCAGGTTTGGAACATGCTCCATGTTATAATGTAATTTCATTTATGGTAACTAAAGAGTAATGATTTAATTTAAATTTAATTAATATAAAAACAAAAAAAGGTAGTGTCTTAATTTTGATAATAGAGGCTGGTTAAACTATTTTTTGAATGGTTATTTAATGAAAGATTATGTTTGTTTTTTAAAATTTTCATGTTTTTAAATTTTTTTATACTTAGTTTCATCAAAAATTTATTAGTATATAGCATTTAATTCCTCCTTTTTTCTAAACAGAAGCTTTTCTTTAATTAATTATAACATGAAAATTTAAATTGAATACATTGTGCTGTTAGTTTATGTAACCAAGCAGTGATTTTAATTTCGATACTTAAATAATTTCTTGGCTTATTTTCTGTTTTCTACTGAAATAATCACTTCTTTAAATTAACTCCAAATTTGATTCTGATTCCCTTTTTTTAAGTGAAATTATTTTAAGATATCATTCATAGCAATTGCTTATTCTAATACACTTGTGTTTTAAGTGCTATGAGCTTATCTCAATATGATGTTACTACTTGGTTTTATAATCTTTTTGATATCAATAGTCTTAAACACAAGTTTCATTATTAACATGCAAAAAGTCTACTAGATGAGATCTTGTTTGTTCAATGTTGACTTAAGATAAATATTTGAGTAATTGTCATGCAAATTAATATAGCTGGAAATTTCATTGATATATTAATCGGTTAAATTGCCTGAGGAAATTCTATTTTTTCATTTTGGAACAATCTTTCTTTACTAGCGCATAAATAAAGAGACTTTGGTATCATTCCTTTTTTCAATTTTCTAGCTAGAAGAAAAACACTTGGGATAAAAATAATTTTTTTCTGATTAGTATTGATCTTTCTTATTTGCATATGCACAATTCTTTCTTTTTTCTTTCTTTATATTTTTTTAATTTAATTTCTTTTTAATTTAATTTATTACTGGATTTTACATTCTATCATAAGTATTTCACATATAACTTTTCTCAAATATAATTTTTTTTTTTGGGATCTAACTCAAGAATCTTATTCTCATTTCGAAAATGTTTTTCAGTCCTAAGATAAATTGATAGAATAAAATGTCTTATATTTCAGATCAGAAAGATAATACAGAAGAGGATACAAATATTGAAAATAGCCGCTAGATAGAATCGGAAGGAAATTTCAAGTTGATATCTCTGCTTTTCACTTGGATCCACGTGAAGAGTAACGTATTTTGAGTCATTAAACTAGACTGGCAACTACACTATAACATAAATCCCGAGGAGACCGGGAGGGAGCTTAGAGCTTTCCCAGCTTGTAGCGCTCCCTGATGGAAATACCTGGTTAGGGAAAATCCACTAAGAGTCTGTAGTCGGCAACGGAATATCGGCCGTAAGACCTTCGTCAGCCTATGGACGGGTAAACATTCACTACACTTAACGGGATCAATTACTCTAGCCGATGCCGCTCCAGGAATCACCAACAATCAATCAATCCGTCGTTCATTTCCCGAGTACGCTGTACGTTTCATCCAACAAGCCTGTTTCGCAGGTCACCAGGGCCTCCAACTGGGTCCAACGAGCAGCGGCGGTGGCGGGTGACGTCACGGGCGCGGGCACGCACACGCGTCCGCGCGTCGACCACGCGCCCGATTCCCAGCAAATCTGCCGACCAACTGGGCCCTCGCTCGGCGCGTCCAGCCTCATTACGCCTCCGCCCAGAGACAAATGACGGGAAAGAGCAGATAGCGCCGCCTACAACGGTCCAGGGCATCGGGAGCGCTCTGCCGCGGCGCTCGCCGCGCGGCAAAAAAACTCCCCCAGCAGCCTCGACGCGCGCATTAGAACAAGTGTGCCCGGGTGACACCTGCGAGAAGACGGCCCCAGGCAATTCCGTTGCGTAGCCCTCACGCTGCGTAAATAGCCATCACGGCTTGCAGTTGCTTGTTTTGAACCGCGTGTTTAATTTGCAATGCGGGGGTAATGGCGACGCTAAATAACAACGGTGGCCGATGGGCGATAACAAGCGTAATTCTCGAGGGAAGTTCATGAGGCGAAGGGCAACTCTCGAATCCCCTCCTATTCTTCGCAATCCGCTTAGCATTACAATGATTGCCAATTCATCCGTTCCATGGAATTTCCAATAAAATAAACCGCAACAGTTAAATACAGATACGTAGAGTTGAAATATACGCTAGTGAGCAAGTAAGTTGACCGAAAGATGGTAGCTGATACAATACTTCATTACAGTTATAACAAACTCATCCAGGAAATAATCAAACGGTACTCCAGGTGGTTACTCTCAGAAGGGTCTTGTCAATTTTCAAGTTATTGAAGACAATGCTGTAAATGGTCGTGATGTAACAATGTTGAAGTAGGAAAAGCTGAACATTTCCTAGCCCAAAACACATATTTTTCATGACTAATTTTTAAGGATGCATTACGACACATTTAAATAGCACTCATAAAAGGCAACTTGTCAGATCTGTTTTGACAATGTCCTTTTCGGAAAAATTCTCTTGACAGATTTCAGTAACATACGCATCCTCTGAAGATTGTTGATCCATTCAAGACAATTTATTCAATTCTGACGTCCGTGATCTTGATAGGTAGGTAGTCGTTTGGGTAAGCAGCTTCAAGGCAAATCCAAGTTCAGTATGAAAATTTATACAAATGCCACTCATCGCTGTCGAAAGGTGCTTTATTTGTTTAAAGGTGACTGGATTTTGAGGTGCAACTGCGTATCTTTAAATACACCTGAAAAACTGTTTATTTAACTCAAATAGTAATATGTCAATTGAAATGGCGTGTTGGCTAAGATCGGTGACGGTAAAGATATTTAAAATTGAAAATAAAACCTTAAATAATTTTAAAAGGTTATCATAATTAAACAATTTGTATTATTAAAATAAGGAAATGAAATGAAATGGCTATCGAAGAACACAATGCAAATTAAACATCACCTGCACATTATGTTTCATTGTCTTGCGGTGCAGACAGAAAAACGCTGAAAGACCCCAAAATGAAAGCTTGAAACTATGAAAACTTTATTTTAAAATGGTAGAGATGATGGAAATGACAATGAAAAATATAAGAAGCAATGTGAAATGCAAACAAATTAGAGCATAAATTCTGGCAATTCAGTTTTGTGTAACAATTGAAAAATGATTGTTTTTCACTGATACATAATACTAATAAACTAGTGGTGCTAACAATTAGCATTTACTCTTTCCCCTATTTTCACACAAAATTAAGGCCGGAAAAGTACTGCAAATTTTCGAATCAACTTATTAATTTCCAACAAACTATGCTTTAGGAACGGATCGTTAAGAGAAAAAATCTATATACTATATCATTTTCCGTTTTAGTAAGACCAAAAAAGTTTGAAAACCTCTTTGCAATTTCCGAAAAAGTAGGGTTTTTAACCCGAACATGCAATCTGCAACCATTCCCCTCAATGTCCTTCGCACTAACAACAAAATTCTACTCGAAAACGTTGGAACCACTTTTTTTAATACTGAATGTCCCAGCGGCTCATGTAAACGTAGCCCCAAAACTTTCAAATATCGGCTTCGAATTCAATGGGAACCGCGACATCAGCCAGATTCGATTGTGGAAAATCAGCTGAACAGTTTAGTTGTTAGCGTTGGGCACAGACGGCCGACCCGTTTTTTGCCGTCAATTCGATTTCGGTAT